TATATCGTTTATCACGTTTATCACATAATTACCACTGTCATAAAACGATGCTTCGGATATGTCTTCATCAATCACATTTCATGCAATTGCATCTTTGATTCGGATTCATTGACTTATTGTTAACGTAAGTGGATTTTTTTAGATAAATTCTAATTATCTCTTATTGTGGGGTATTGATACTAATAATTTTATGCGATAATAAAAATTTGTGATTCTGAATATGAAAATTTGTACATGTTTTTATATTTGAATTATTTTTTTCAAATCTTTTTAATCTTTTCATTAACTTTTCTTTGGCATCTGTTTAAATCTTCAGATGCAGGATGCATCCAAAGAGAAAAAATCAGAGATTGATTTAGATGATTCTTCCTCGGATTCTCGTTCCATAAGAGAGGCGGAAACATTGGATGTTAAATCTAACGAGGATAACGAAAATGATGATAATGACGAAGATGACACAATTCAAAAGTAAAGTACAATCAATAAAACAAGTCTATATAGATTGCGTTCCATTTAACGCTCACAACGCTTATGGAATCATGTTATCCTTGTTGTTTAATGAAATGTTAAATAAGAATAAATGATGTTTGCGAGCATTAAGTGGAACGCAGCCATAGAGTAAAGTATAAAATATATGTAACTTGCAATAATACTAAAAATAATGAAAAAGGAAGATAAGTAGAATTTTGAAAGATTAATTAATTGACACAATTAATCTATTAATTTGAAATATATTGCAATCTTTGCATTATTATTAACTATTTGATCTTCTATTTTTTCTGCACAGCAAGGCAAACAATGTAAATCAGAATGTGAATATGAATATGAATGCGAATATCTTCGGTGGCGAAAATCGTCATCGTGTTAAACACCATCGCCATGATCGCCATAGGCAAAGTACGACGGAAAATATTATGACAGCCACAGGACAGACGACATTGGAAGACATAGCCAACGAAGAAGTTTCAACGAATTGTGCGAGCGGTAAAAAGAAGAATCAGAGGTACTCAAGTAGCTTCTTCGCGAATACAACAGCCCGTTCGATAAACGTGGAAAAGGAGTTTCATGATGTGGTTGGCAACAATTCCAAGGTGAAAAAATCTAGCAGTGTTCACGAGGGCGAGGACATCACTCTGTGCTGGATCGAAACGACAACTATCAAGGAGGATAAGACTATTCGACCGCCGAAGAGATTGGTTATTCGTGAGTACACAATCTCTTTTGAGAACTCAGCAACCATACCGGAAAGATATCTCGAATGTAAAAGGTTCGAGGGTGAATTGACGGCGAACGATCCCGAAGTTGGTAAGACGGCCTTATTCGAAGTCATAGATGAAGACACGATGGTCAGCAGGGTTGTTAATTTTACCTCGGTCAATCATGAGGGTAATATTATCACTTGGGAACATAAAAAAGTGAAATGCGGAGTTGGTCCGGTGGTCAGTAAAAATATTGTAGAATTGAACGACGGCTCAAAGAATCCTAAGAAGAGAGTGGAGATCAAAGTTAGTCCTAAAATGCATCAACTGACGGCAACGACAACTGAAGAGGAGTGTACGGACGGTAGTACACTCACTGAGTCTATGACTGAATATACTACTGGACTGCCCTGTGAAAATGGCGCTTGTGAAGCAACTATGATTTCTCCTAGCATTGTATCAAAAATCGATAAATTCAGCACAACTGAAGAAATAGTCACCAAGTTGCAGAGCGAATCCGAAAGCGAGAGCGTCGAAGATCATTTATCTACAGCTACAAAATTATTAACATTACCTGATGAAATAGTATCTAGAAGAACAACAACGTTTCCTAAAAAAACGACTACATTTCAGGAGAAGATAAACTGCGAAGAGAATCCATCAGATCCAGCGTGTTTAACGCAAAAACCTGATACATCTTCGGAAGAAGTTATTGAAGTATTAACTACGACGGAAACAGCTGTGATAGCCAAAACATCATCGATTAGTGATAAAGAAATAACTTCGAAAGAGGAGATATTTCACCCTTCTATTGAGGAGAGATCAGAGGAGATCACGGAATCTCTATCTACATCGAAAGAAGAGGAAGAAATAATTTCTGAAGTAGTAACTGAAGAGACAACTCCGTTAGAATTCGCGAAAGATATTTTCACAAAGTCTTCGGAAGCATATACGCCTCAATTAACAGAGCGAGCACCTATTGAAACTAATTCAATGGAAACAAAGATTATGACAAGCCCTAGTGCGGAAGGTATGGAAGAATACTCGAAGTCCGAAGAAGACAGAGGTAAAAGTTCTACTATACTGATAAGCGAAGAATTAGGAAAAGTTGACTATATTTCTTCAAGCGAGAGCATAGTGACTTCAAGTGAAATTGGTATTGAGTTAGGTATTACAACCGCGAAATCACCAGAATTGATCGAATTCACGAAAGAACCCAGTAAACCTGATCGGATTTTCGATAAGTTATCTGAATTGCCAATTTCGACAAAAAGTGTAACAGGACCTGTAATTATCGAATCATTATCAACGTCCGAAGAAGTGACCTCTGAGGAAACCAAAGAAGAGGCTGCAATTGGAGAGACGACGATGGGTGGGCTAAAGACTAGTAAGGAAAGAGAATTTATTTCCGCAATTACAACGACGTCGCCAACGAAGGTCAGATCAACGACTTTGCCACCAGTGACAAGCGCCGAGGTAAGTTATTCATGCGAGAACTCCGAGGATTGCCCTAGTTCGGAAATCTGCGACGAGTTCGGAAATTGTGAAAAACTTCTACCAAAATTTGACACGATTCGTCCACCAAAAGTTCCTCCATCCGAGGAAACAAAAATAACTGAGCACACGACTGTCACAAATGTAGCAACGACCATGTTGATCTCTCAAGAAGGTGACAGCAGGTCGACGGCTAAACATATCATAGACACTCGAAGAAGCACGACTACAAGTACGCCGCAACATAAGCTGTCTTTGAAGGTCAAGATCCTCCTGGAGCATATTAATGAGAACAAAGAGAAACACAACTTGGTCGAGGTGGAGAAACACTTATCGCTGAACGAGAATCCAGAAAGTCATCTTGATCCTGATTTACTCGAACAATTGAAATCTTTGAACGATTCCGTCAATATGGAGACCATAAGCGCATTGTTAAATTGTACTAGCTTGGGAAATTTGACAAAAGATTCAAATTTTATCAGCAAAGAACCAGATAATGATGACAGTGGTACTTCAGAATTGGAATTTACGAATACTGATTTTGAGGATTTGAACTCAGAACAGTTTACTTCAAGATCCGATGATGCTAAAATTGATAATTCTGAATATCAAGAACCCGTATCATCTCGAAGACGAAGACGGAGAAGTCTTGATAATGAAATGGAAGGTCTAAATAAATTTGTTCAACAAAATCTTTACGATTCCGCTGATTCTGCGGTTGATGCTTTCAATATTTCACAAACTCAGCATCCTGAGTTAACAAACACAACTTACAGCTTACAACTTTCCACAACGGCAAATCACTCCGAAGAGGAAACAACTATTAACAATTATACAGAAAGTGAAAGAAATGTAATTAAAGAAGAAAATCAAAGTACAATGCCTTCGACAATGGTAACACTCAGCGATGTTGATCTTTCTAACACTTCGGAATCTCGTGATATTAATATAACAAAGGAAGATGTACAGTTCATCACGACAACATATAAACCTGAGGAGGAAACAAATAACACTATGTATATAAAAACAAATACAACTAATGAAACAAATATAACTAATGAAAGAAATGAAAGCACAGTACCTTCGATAAGGAACGACATGAGCAACGAAACAAAAATGGAAGTTGTGCGAGAGACATTACCAGGAATACAGGAAGATGTTGTAGTCGGGTTGCAGCATATGGCATCGCAATTAATGCAAAATAATTCCACCTCAATCAATAACATTAAAGAAGCCGTCAAAACAAATTTGTTGGGTATTTTAGCGAATCCCAGTGATAGCAGAGTTCAATCGAGAAGAAGAAGAGCGGCCACGGAAGAAGTTGGACACTGGTCAAATGAAAGGATCAAGGAGGCGCCAATGGGTGGCAATCTTAGAAGTTTCACTGAATTCACACTGTACAAAGTTCTTTCTTGAGATGTATGGCAAGATTAAGTTTTATTTTGCCATTTTGTAATGTCAAAAGATTTCAATGAAGCTGAAATGAGAAATTACGTTGTATGTATAAGCCTTACTGTACATTATAATTTAATCACATGTGTAAATGTATGTTACAAAAAACTTTACAATACATATTAAATTGTCTTTTAAAATACGGCAGATAACAGATTATTAGTGCTTTTTATTTATATAAATGTATACAAATTTCCAGACAAATATAATACATTTAAAAAAGAAATCAAATTATAAAAGGAATATAATTATTTTGTGAAATAAAAATTTATCCGTACATTAGTATAATTTTCACATATTATTTTTACAATACTGTTAATATGTTTGATTTTCATGGATAGGAAGAAGTTGATATTTATATTTAATCATCTTTAAAGTTGTAAACGCGTGATTATCGTGTGAATGATTATAGCTTGCGCATTCATAACGTTCGAAAATAATTAATCGTGAATAGCAGTTTGCATTGGCAATCGTAATTGTATTGACTGAATCGTGTCTGTAATGGATCGTGCTAACGAGAAATTGTTACGTACTTTTATTGTTTCCATTAAGTTGAAAATAATGTGTTGGGTAATAAAATGGCTGTTAAATGCGCGGTATTCGCTGATCGCTTTATTATTTTTCTATCAGTCTATAATACATGTCGAAAATTCGTTTATGATTTATAATGATACATAATTACATTCGCGCTTTTATTTTAATCTCTCCGTTTATTGAATATTATTATTATTGATACAGTATTTTTTATATATTTAACACATTTTTATTTATCATACTCAATTATTTATTTATCAACGGATATGTATTTATTATAATCAGGAAGAATATCACTTTTAGCAAATATGTATTTTTATTTTGATAAACAATTTAATAATTAATAATATTTTTACATTAAGATACACGATGATTTTGTAGAAGTACATTAGCATCTTATAGACTACAAACGTATGCAGTATAATTGTAATATTCTATTATCCTTATGTGTGGTTATCCCTGACATGTGAACGTCTGTGGCGATACACATTTTTCTGATGTTGGATTGAATACCAGCGTATTCGGGCACGAGAGATTATCCATTATAGTGTAATTGGTGCCGTTCCAGTAGCATAAGTAATAACTCTTACAATTCACATCCTGTATCGGGAATCTGCCGTATCTACTACAGAGTGGTGCTGAGGTGGTTGTGGTCAATGGTGCTGCTGTTGTCGTTTGTTGGCACGTAGCTGTGCTTTCAGACACGCATCTACCTTGATCAGCAACGAATATGAAAGAATTGGCGCACGACAATATCACTGGATTGAGATTCGCGCCATCATCCACGCATATATAGTAATTTCTGCAAGTTCCATCGAAGATCTCGAAAGAACCTATCTCCGTGCAAGTAGGTGTGGTTTGACTTTCAGCGATTTTGAAAGAAGTGTAAAGGCACAAAAGAACGATGATCGAGAAGCGATTCATTGTTGCGTGCGAGCAAAGATTTGGTCGACATGTGAATGTTCCATTCATTTATAGCAAAGAAATTTATCTTTTGTGTAAATCATACGTTCATTTATCAGGGATTTAGAATGTAAAACAAGATAAAGATAGTTCTCTTTGACCTTGCCGTGAATTCGTACGTTTTCTGCCTCGGGATTCTTAATCCCTGATCTTAATTTTATCGATGATAATATTGTTGCGCAAATTTAATTTTTCAATTTCTATTTTTCAATATTTGTCGATTTTTTTGTTCAAGGAGTTAATAATTTATCAACGCTATTACATTACGTAATTATCGAAAGTTAACGTGATGAAAATTTAATTAAAATGATACATGCGTATTTCTTTCGATGTCGTTTGAAGTCAAGACGGCATCTGTGCATCCCCGACAATTCTTTCCAGGTGAAATGTCGGACGCGATTCAGAATGCGTATTTTTTTAACGCGACGGTCTTACGACGAGGAAATCGAGGGTGAAGTCTACGGAATACAAAATCGCCAGAAAGCGACGAGAAAGTTGCAACTGGATTTAATGTCCGCACGTAATATTCTGCTTGTTCGTGCGTGCTAGCATTATGCATCAATTATGCATGCACATCTTGTATCTATATATTGAAATAGATTTTGCATGTTTTACTGATATTGAACACAAACATATATTTTCTATCTCGCCACATTAGATTAAAAATTTATTTTTTATTATAATAAAATTATGATAAAAGATTTATTTAAGCTTTTTATACATTAGATTTTATACATAGATTTTAATAAACTTTGATGTACAATATTGTTATAATAATAATAACTTAATTTGTAAGATATAAGATAGATATATGACATTACATTGAATAGAATAAAAAATATATGAAACGAAGAAATCAACTACATCACACAGGTACGTTAGACCGGTATTAAAGATATTTCCGAGGATATTTCATAGATTTTATTTTGAAATTCCTGCCTGCGACCCTTGAGTTCAGGTAACTTTTCCCGATGTCCATTATATATATCAGGATCAGAGGCAAGATATTTTTCGAATCTGATTTTCTTGAATAGATACGAAACCTCTCCGTCTAATCCACGCATTCAACTGCAGGCTCAAAGAGAGAGATCAGGTGAATATACACGGAGGAATCCTTGTTTTGGAGCGAGGGAAAGGTGCTATGGAAAAGAGAGAGAGGTGTCAGGAAAGAAGGAGAAACGCAAATGTATATAAGTGACTTGGGTTGAAGACGCTCCAATGGACTCTCTCTTTAACCCTGGTCAAGTGCGCATCTTTCCTCCCATCTTATTCTTTTTTCCCATCCCCCTTCCCATGCATGGTCGTGTTGTTTCGATCCTGCGTCCTTCCATTTCAACCTTCACCTTCACGCGGCGAGGAAGAGGACAGTGTTCTCGCGCCCGTTTGATCGTATTACGCGCTGTGACGATGACACAAGGTTGAGAGTTAGCAGGAATTCAATTTTCTCTAAAAAAAATTTAGAACGAGTGTGATATTGGTTTCGCGTGCATGTGACATGTTCCTGGCGGAGAGATCCTGAGTGCAGGAGAGATGGATGCTCGAAGAGTGAGTAACTTTGATAGTAAAAGGTCGAAAGAATCATTATCGGAACGAAGTCACCGAGTACCTAATTGTAGAACTATTATTGCCGTAGAAGAGATTTTAGAGCTTTTAAAATCGGATTGTAGAATTTGATTGATTAATGTTGCATAGTACCAAATAGTATTATAATCAATTATCAAATTATTACCAAATTATTATTATTAATTTTATGTTCAAAATGACAATAAATAATAAATAAAAAGGTTTAATAGGATTAAAAATTAAATGAAAACAATAATAGATCACGGGACAAGCTAATTGTCAATAAAATTTGAATGCTAAAACGTTATATGTTTGATATAAAGGTGTTTAATTGCAAAGATTAATTTTTATTTATAAATATTATATAGATATTAATTAAAAGTAATTATATAAAAATAATCATAGAAACTATTCGATGATATATATTTTTGTGTAAACATCTTTATAATACAATTTTATTATACTAATAAGATAGCAACATCAATATAGAAAATTCGTTATCAAGAAGCAATTTTTCATTATCTTCATCGCATGCAATAGTTTCCGGCTAAAAAAAAATGCAAATTGCTGCTGTTGCGTTTGATCATTCCAGTGAATTTAATGATGGATCATTTTAATGCGCTATAATTCTCTTTACTCGCGGTATCGATAACGAGGCGAATCGTATAGGCTGTGCGATTATGATGTACCGAGAAACGTGTGAGAGCCTTGACTACATAGAAAATATGTACGCTTTCGAGTCTAATCTATATTACATGGGCAATAATAAACGCGTGAGAGCTGTCCGCATTAATATCAAACATTGTTTTGTTAATAATTAAGAGACTTTGTAATTTGTATCTTTGTAGAAAAGTATGAGAAATAACAAAGGATTACATATTTTTTCAAATATAGTTGCATTTCTCTTGTACAAATTATTTTGTCGTTAGAAAGTTGTGCTGTGCGCATGTATATATATTAATTCTTTTTTATCATTTTATCAGTCTATTTTTGGCAATTTTGTATTTTGTACTTTTATATCCTCAAAGATAATTTATTGTAAATAGAAGGAAGCCTTTTCCTAATTATCATTAGTCAAAATTAATAGTTAAATTTCAGTTCTAAAATCATAGTTTCTTTGAAAAGCTATTTTGGTTCATGTAAATCGTCTCACAGTCACGTTCTTTAATTAGCTAGGAGAGCAGGTCGGAGCTGTATGTTAATAATGCACTGCTCGCGTTGTATCTCAAGAGTCACGGTTGATTTATGCACATCGTGAATCGACGATAGCGCGCGTCAGGACGACGAATAAATGACGAAGACGTAAGCCACTTTCGAGGGGAACGATCAGGCTGTTCGGCACATCGCCAGTCAAAGAGGGAAACTCTTTCGACCGACCTAAATTTATCGCTTTCCGTTTGCACGTGTTTTACGTAGTCCCGATTTCCAAAAAGAATCGTAGAATAATACAAAAATACAGATTTTCCTTAATAAAAAATTAATACTTTTTTGTTATAATTACCAAGATTATTATACGAAGTATCGTGGAATTATAAAAGGAAGACATCTGCATCAGTTATGTCACTTAACTAGCGAAATTTATGTCGATTTCTATTAACATAGAGGTGCTAATAATTTTTGAGCTGTTACTTTTTTTATTGAACTGCAAAGCATAAAAATGGATAGTGAAATAATTAATTTAAATAAAATAGATATTACTTTAATTTATTTAAAGAAAAGATATAAGAGGAATATTAAAATTTAATAAATATGTTGCCAAAAATAATAGTTTCCCCCCTCCAACGGTATTACTAAGGAAGAAGCTATCTTTAATATTCATTTTTTTATTAGAATAGTTTCTACAATCATTGCGTGATTTAAAATCTGAGTATATCAATATTCCATAGTATTGACATGTTGATATTTTTCCATTTCAATTTTAGATAAAGTCTGTTCAAGTTTCATCTGTAAATATACATAGTGCTGATAACGGATAAAGTATGAGAAATCATATTCTTAGAAGAGACAAAAAGAAAAGTTACTTTCCATTTACACGCTTTATCATTTCAGCTTTAGAAAAGTGTCAATACTGGATCTTAACGAGCGTGCGATATCCGTTGTCCAAAATATGAAGCTTTTCTACTCAAAGTGCATGTCATATTTTGATATTTTAGTATCTATATTTTATTTTATATCTTGTTTCAACAGATATGCAAGGCACTCCCATAATTTGTCAATATTAGAATAAAAAGATAAAAATATCAAATACCTACGTAATTTATGTTGCAACATCACTTTATAGGTAATTAGAACAGTGAAAGTTAGAAGTGCAAGCAAAGTTAGTAGCACTAATCAATAGATTTATTTGCATTAACAAAATAAAGATAGAGCTCTTTCCGTTTGTTAAGAGTTTATTGATAAATTATCAATAATAACATAGCTAATATGGATTGTGCTTCCTTTTCTTGCGAGATATTTCTAAATATAATTATTGTATTTTTTAGAGGACTTTTGCTTATGTTTCTTCCGCTTAATATATATTACCGTGAATAACTTTATGTTTAGATTTTGGAATTTTTAAATTACGGAAGCTTGCTAAAAAGAATTGACAACACTTCCTGTGTTATTTTCTAAATAAGACGATAATTTGCGATATAAGTTTCTTCTGCGTTTCGAAATCGTGGGTATCAAATTATGCGCAATAAAACGTCAAGCATCATGATTTCCTACTTTAAAAAGTCCATATGAGGGGGCACGACAAATGCTTTGCGTCGTATTTTCCTTACATACGTCGAACTGGAGCAGCTCGCGATGTAAATACGATAGTTACAACTCTCTCTGTCTTGACGCTCCTGTAATTGTCTTCTGCGCCGCTGAAGCACCGTTAGGGCTCGTCTTTTCTCGAGAAGATCATCGCCCATCTCCCGATTTTCACTCTACTATTCCCACGGGAATTTAGACCTACCTTAGAAAGTGACAGGATAATACCATGCTCTTTTCATAATTCTGCACAACGTACATACTTTTTTATGTTCTTTTATATAATTATTATAAATATATAATTTGGCTAATTGATTAATTAGCGCGTCGTTTTCCACGCTTATCTTTTAATAGTCCATTTTTAAAAATTATTTTTGATTGTTAATTTAAAAAGAATATTAACTTTTACTTATTTGCACTTTTTAAAATTTTTTATTAAAATTGACATTTTTTGAAATACATTTCGCGTACATTGAAGAAAAAATCGGAAAAATTATTACACACATTTTTACAAAATGGTATAATTATGATTATTATATTATTTTATTTTGTGTAACCAAAGAGAGCAGCAGCTTTACTGAATAACATCGAAAGTTTCGCCTGTAAATATCGATCTCGTTAATGTTGGGTCTCGATTTCACAAAGATATCTACTAGAATTTCTCGTACGCGATG